GTCAGCCTATTGATGTGACGGCTCCCGATGGACGGTTCCGATATTGTTGGCAGACATCGTCGGGAGAAAAAGGCATTGCAAGGTTGCTTTGATTGAATTAACCTATTAGCTGAGATACAGCGCCTTAAGAAAAGTGTGAGCAAGGGGGATAAAAATAAATTGAATGATGTCCACAAGATTATTAAATTAATGGAACTGGAATTGGAGAATAAACACGAGCTTGAATTAACTTCTTTGTCTCAGCCCTCAAACGAAGCTTCATTTGATAGCGTTGGACAAAATTTGTCTGGTATTTTTTTACGCATTGTTTTAATGTAATTTAGAGAGCCCTGTCATTCTTCAGAAGACTAGTAGGGCTGAAAAAAGAAGAGCAAAAAAAGCGGTAGCCCAGGAAAACCAAAATAAAGCTTTTTCTGAGTTGATAGCTTCTAGTTCTGACACTCCTCGATTTAAGGAGTTTGCAGAAATAAATAAACTTTTATCTCAGGAATCCCTTGTCCTTTACGAAGTAAGAATTAGCTTTGCTGTGTAAGCATTGTTCAAACTATTCTTGTATCATTGATACATACGTTGGCCTCTCTCCAGGTTCCATCGGATGGTGATTGCTTATTTAGCTCAGTCAGCCACCAGCTTGAGTTATTAAGACATTCCAAAGTTGCCTGTACTCGTATTAACGATAAAAATCTCATTGATGAACCCACAATTTTGGATGAAAAAGTTTATACTATTCGTGAACTTCGGAAACTAGCCGCCGAGTACATAAGAAGTCATGTAAATGAATTCCTTCCCTTTTTGATTAACCCCGATACTGGGAGGCCAATGGCATTAGGTACGTTCATTTTAAGATTCATTGGTAGTATCTATATTTGCTGAATATGTTTCATGACTTGCATTCACATTTATGTGGTGTTTTTATTCGATATGCCTGTTTAGTACCTATAACCTTCTTTGCTCTATCCTAGGTGATATCGACTCCTATTGTGATAATTTAAGAGATACTTCTTCTTGGGGCGGTGACATTGAGGTAATTTAAGTTCAATTTCAAAGAACTAGCTTGTAATCATATTTTCTCTTTAATCTCTTTATTTACTCTGACATTTACTCACTCATTTATTTATAATACTGCTAGCTGCGCGCACTTTCGTGTGAACTAAAAAGGCCAATTGAAGTGATTCAGGCAACCGGACCCAAAATAAAGGTTGGAGAGGAATTCATCTCCAAACCACTCATTATCACGTAATATACCTTTTAATTATTAGTTAATAGCCTCTATAAGCATTCCTTTAATATTCGTATTTATTTTAGGTACCACCGACATGCCTTTTCTCTTGGAGAGCATTATAACTCCTGCAGACCACTTCCTTGTGAACCACCAAACAGAGAGTAGCTATTTTTGTTCTAATTTTATAGAGTGCTGCTGAAATATAGTCCTTCTCTTCTTGCTTTCATTTATTTTCTGTTCGTTATTGTAATTTATTGTTTATTCTTCGTGCTCCGATTTACTTACACAATTTTATGAGTTTTTAAATTCTGTCTTTTAAATATTTTCTAATCTTACTATCGTGATCTAAACAGTATAACAGCAATGTCTAAAAGACCTTGGTACAAAGACCAGGTTGGG